AAAAAAAAAAAAAAAAAAAAAAAAAAAAAAAAAAAAAAAAAAACGCCTGGCCTGCTGTGTTCGTCCAGCTCTACACCTTATTATCTTTGACTTAGCTGAGATGTTCTTTAAAGTAGTCTTTACTTTTCAATGCTACTGAGCGTTATCCAGTTGAGATACAGTACAAGTTACATGCATTGTTTTACTGTGTCTTGCTATTTTACCTGTAAGCCAACTCAGCTGTATCTGATTGCAACAATGTGGGAATTATCAATTGTCCATTCAAGTAATCCTGTAAACTCTTGGTAGGAGCCAGTGAACTATTAGAGTCTGTACTCTACATAATTTTCCCAAAAAGATATTTAAATAGCAGCTCTTCCTATCAACTGTCGAATATTGTACAGCTGACTTTAAATAAGTTTTACCATTCTTATGCTACTGGATTGTATTTGATTTTTAAGTCACTACAAGAACATATATTAAAGTTAGGAAATGGAAGATGGTTAATCATTAAGAAGAAATCACAAGGACTTAGCAGAGATTGATCTAAATACAAAGGAGAAATGTGCATATTGCTTCAGATAAATAGCATCTTGAGAGCACTGCTGTAATTGTTTTTGTGCAATGCTTTATTAAATCGTGATATTTTGATTGAATTTACTTCCCTTGACATTAATTTATGTGATTCACCTAGAGACTGACTTGTTTAATGTTGATGCCTCGAGGGTTTTGCTTAGCTTTCCTGGATTAACACCGAAATCATACATTTTGGTAGTGTGATGATGTAAGTGAGGTTATTATTTAACTTAGTGACGTTATGTCTCAGACAATTAGCTACCAAAATTTACCGATAAGCTGGCCTGGAATTTAACTATTGAGCTGCCATCAAGAGTATACTGGCCTGATCAGCTACAGGAGGCTGCAGCTATTTTGAGAACTGAGCAACAAGTAATGGACAGCAAAAGATTGTCTTTTTGCAGTACTGAACTGGTTGTATCTGATGGCCCAGAAGCTGATCCCTTACAACAATTTCCCAGGTTCATCTTGTGAATATTTCAATCTATCATAGAAACTCTCTTAGCTGATTATTGATTGGATTTGTAAAATATTCTCAACTCAGTGACATATTTAGGGGAAAAAGTTAACTAGTCAGTTTGAGGGTTGATCTCAGAGAGACAAATAACAAGACATTCTCCCATTTCCCAAGTTTAATACATGCCCTTGTAGCGACTTAAAAATCAGATACAATCCAATGGAATAAAGAGATAAAACCTATATAAAGTCAGCAGTATACTATTCAGGAGGAAGAGCTGCTATTTAAATGTCTCAGTGGAAGACTTAAGAAGAGTACAGACTCTAATTGTTCACTGAATCCTACCAAGAGTTTATAGGATTACTTGAATGGACAATTGATAATTCCCACATTGTTGCAACCATGTGCGTCTGAGTTTGGTCCACAGGTTTAATATGAAGACACACTAAAGCAATGCATGGAACCTGTACTGTATCTCAACCAGATAATGCTTGGTAGCGTTGAAAAGTGAAGACTCCTGTATCGAGCAACTAACCGGTACTGTAATTGAGCTGTGCATGTTCAGTGCTGACACTTGGTGTGGGAGTAGGGGGAAGTGGAGGGGGGGTGGGATCTAAGGGCATTGGATTATGTCTGATTAAGGAATGATGGGCACTGTCAAACTTGCAAAAATTGGGAAGCCATCTCCAACCCACTGAGTTGAGGATTTATGGAGGCAGGACAAGAGCTAGGTACCGAACAATATTAAGTATCTTCATGAGGCTGGCAATTTCTAAAGAGTCTTTGTCTAAAGAGTTTTATTGTAGACTATAGTTTAGCACAGACGCCAGTTTTCCACCCTTCCCTTTTGGATCATTTTCCTGTCCAGAAGCCAATCTGCACTGAGGAAGAACCCAGCATTTTTTTATAGGGTCAAGAAAGAGAGTTTAAATTAAAATGGATTTGGAGGGAGAAATAATGCACTCCACACCCACAGTGCCCACCTTCCTCTGAACACATCAAGAATGTTGCTGGACACTCCCCAAGGAAACCCAAGAACCTACTTCTTTTTTGCTTTTTTCTCTTTTTCTATCCAGCGATGCATTCTCACACCTCAGAATTTTCTAACACCAATTCACCTGGGTTTCTAATTCAATTTTACAGGCACTGCCAATGAAAATGAGGAAAGGGAGAGAGAGAGTGGATTAAATTAAAAGGGAGTTGGAGGATGAGATAAGGCATTCCACCCCAGTGGTCCACACCTCTCTGAAAGCTCCAGGGGATGGGTGGACACCATGTGGTCCCTCTCTGTGGAAGAGTCCAGCCTTTTTTTTAATTGTATTTTCTCATCAATTTGTTCGGGGATATTATTACACACCTCTGGAGCAAGTGGGACTAGAGCCCAGACCTCCTAGCTCAAAGGCAAGGACACAACCACTGCACCACAAGAACCCCTGGATCCCAGCTGCTTTATTTTATAATCAGAAGGGTTACCACACACAGCTGAAGGCTTTTTGCAGACCGCCAAATTACCCATAGGACTTTTCAGCCCCCACACTAAATTACTCATGTTGTTAATTAATCAATTTACAGGTAATGCCTGGTAAGGGGAAGAGCCAAATCAATTTTTTTTTTTAATGACATGCTTAGAGATGTTATGACACACTTCTGGAGCTAAATTAGAGGTGTAGTGGACAATGAAGAAGGTTACCTCAGAGTACAATGGGCCAATGGGCCAAGGAGTGGTAGATGGAGTTTAATTTAGATAAATGTGAGGTGTTGCATTTTGGAAAAGCAAGTTAGGGCAGGATTTATACACTTAATGGTAGGCCCTGGGGAGTGTTGCTGAACACAGAGATCTTGGAGTGCAGATTCATAGTGGAGTCGCAGGTAGATAGGATAGTGAAGAAGGCATTTGGTATGCTTGCCTTTATTTGGCAGTGCATTGAGTCTTGGAGTTGGGAGGTCATGTTGTGGCTGTACGGGACGTTGGTTAGGCCACTTTCAGAATACTGCATGCTATTCTGGTCTCCCTGCTATAGGAAGGATGTTGTGAAACTGGAAAGGGTTTAGAAAAGATTCCCAGTCCTGAAGAAGGGTAATACCCAAAACATTCCTCCAGATGTTGCCTGGCTTGCTGTGTTCTTCCAGCTTCCTGTTTGTCTATCTTAGATTCCAGCATCTGCAGGTTTTTTTTTGTCTCAGAAAAGATTTACAAGGATGTTGCCAGAGTTGGGGGGTTTGAGCTATCGGGAGAGGCTGAATAAGCTGGGGCTATTTTCCCCTGGAGCGTCAGAGACTGAAGGATGACCTTGTAGAGGTTTATAGGGGCATGAATAGGGTAAATAGACAAGTCTTTTCTCTGGGGTGGGGGAGTCCAAAACTAGAGGACATAGGTTTAAGGTGAGAGGGGAAAGATTTAAAAGGGACCTAAGAGGCAACTTCTTCATGCAGAGGGTGGTGCGTGCATGGAATGAGCTGCCAGAGGGAGTGGTAGAGGCTGATACAATTAGAACATTTAAGAGGCATCTAGATGGATATATGAATAGGAAGGGTTTAGAGGAATATGGGCCAAATGCTGGCAAATGTGACTAGATTTATTTAGGATATCTGGTCGGCATGGACGAGTGTCTGTTTCTGGGAGGTACATCTCTATGACTCCAAGCAGGACTTGAATCTGGGCCTCCTCACTCAGAGATAGAGACACTACCACTGTACTACAAGAAACTATCAAGTCTGCACTTTTGACCGTCTGAAAAGCATTCCACCAAGACCCAGCCTGCTCACCCTATCCCCATAATCCCGCATTTTTCCAAGACTAATCCACCTAATCCGCACATCCCTGGACACTATGGACAATTTAGCATGGCCATTCCACCTAAGCTGCACACCTTTGGACCCTTTCCCAAACCCCTACCTTTCTTCTTGAACTTCTCCTTTTTTTGCCCAAAATTGTAAACTTCATGTCAACTAACATCTCTCCGAAGTAGATTATTTGATGAATTTACAATTCCCAAATGGACCGAAATCGTTGCCGGGTGCTCTGGTTTCCTCCCACAGTCCAACGATGTGCAGGTTAGGTGGATTGGCCGTGGGAAATGCAGGGTTATGGGGATAGGGCGAGATTCTTCGGAGGGTCGGTACAGATTTGATGGGACAAAATGGCCTTCATATGCACAGGAGACAGTCTATTCTTCTGTTGTATGATTTTATTGTTCTACTCAACCAGGGCTATGATACTTAAGAATCTTAGAATTTAAGCCCCAGATTTTAATGAACTAATTGCAACAAAAAGACTTTTGTTGAAAGAATGAGCGGTCATTATTCAGAGCACCAGAGAAACAAAACAGAGCAGAAATTATTGGGAACTGATGTGGTTTTTTGGATCAAATACCACTGCCAGTATGTTATGGTCTGAGTGCATCCCTGTATGTTAGGTCACGTGACATATACCATAAAGACTGCGTTCTTTTGATACAGATGCTTCGATGCTTAGTAGAAAGACTAAATATTGACACATATCTCAGAGTTGCACATAGTCTGAGTTCTGTACTTACTGAATATAACTGTTACAACACATATACACATGGTAAGGTGAGTGAAGTGTTTAATGTAATGACTGGTTATAATGGTGGACACTAATGCAACTGAAACTATTGTTTTATCATTAGAGCTTTGAACAGTGGCTGATTTAGATTTTATAATAAATGTTCCCTTCTTTCCTTTTTTAAAAATTTTTGCAAGCTACAGAAGAGAAAACAAGGCAAAATACAGAGGAAAACCAGACAGACGACGATAGTATTCAGGACCCTCTTGTAACAATGGGTGATAAGATTAATAAAGAACATGATGAACAGTTCTTGGAAAAAAACACTTCTCCATCTAAGGTACCTGTCAACCAGCATTCAACAGGCCGGCCAGCTGCCAGTAATCCTTCTCTGCAAAAACATCTTCACACTGTCAGCTCTGATTCCGCTATTTGGGGAAATGATTCTAACCGAGCAGAGACTCTAATTCAACAGAGAACACCATGGAATGGTAACTCCCATTCACTGATTAGGTAGCCATGTTTTAGGAGAAATACATCAGTTACTTTTCAGGGGAGAATTACAGATGGTTGTATCCTCAGCAATATGGATCAGTATCTTCTCTTTGGTCCCTGATGTTGAGTATTTAACAAGAGCAAGGACAAAGGAGATGGAACAAAAACAGAAATTGCTGGAAAAACTCAGCAGATCAGGCAGCATCTGTGGAGAGAAATCAGAGTAAACATTTCGGGTCCAGTGACCCTTCTTCAGAACTTAACTCAGTTCAGAGGAAGCGTCACTGGACCTGAAGTGTTAATTCTGACTTCTCTCCACAGATGCTGCCAGATCTGCTGAGGTTTTCCAGCAATTTTTGTTTTTGTTTCTGATTTCCGGCATCCGCAGTTCTTTCGGTTTTTTACAAAGGTGATAGAGTTAAGATATTTAAAAACATGATCCAATTGCATACTTACTAATTTTCCTTTCATTTTCTTGCATCAGATAGTGCATTAATGTATATTTAGGCAGCATTTCTCAGAAATAACAGGATATGTGAAATGATTTCATTCATGTCGTGCTAAGTATGTCAACATAGAAAACAAATAACCGATTTCTGGGAACGGCTGTGGCAATATTGATATGATATTTGCTATTTGTTCACTAAGATTGTGGAAGTCAACATGGCATATAATTTCCTGCAACATTGTCGAGGGCCATAAGTAATGCTGTTGTGTGATTTATGTGTACTTCCTCCAATTTAACATGCATTTGATTTACCAAAATCAAGCTGCCTGATTATTTTGCTGAATTTCTCCATTCTGCCTGTGGTTGAGATCTTGCCCTCCCTCTGATTCACCACTGTAACTGTCCAATTTATTCCTATGCCTTTTCCATCATTGGCTTCCCATGTTACTTCATTCATGGTAAGAAGTGATTTCAAGAACAATATCATGCCTTTCTTCTCAACACTTTGCATCCGTTCTGAACAATGACAATAAGTTTAGCTATTTCCCCTTTGCTTGTAACTCCTTATCCATCATCCATATCCTTTGCCTCTGTTATGGAGTTACACATTGTCCAATTTTAACTTTGGGTCAGTTTTATATGAATGGCTGGTGGTGTGAGCTAGAAATTCGCTCAGTGCTCCAGAAAGAAGCCTGAGCTAATTTAGCTTCTAAACTCTATTCAAAACCTACAAGCCACTTACCACGTATTCCATGCAGGATGTCAGTAGGAAAGGGTGGAAAATTCCTAGGGCCTGGACAGTACCCAGTGACACCAAGATTAGTTACAGATGTCCTGGGGGTAGCTTATGATTGGGATGGAGGGGAGAGATCTATATCAGAGAAGGTCTGAGCTAACCTGTGGGACTAGGAGCACAGGAGATCTTGTAATATAAGGTAACAATTGCAAATGAGTTAATATTGAAGACTGCATTCACATCCAGCCAATCTGATGATGGACAAAGTCTTGGCTAAGGAAAGGCAGAACATCTTAGGACCTCGAAGGGGACAGATCTGTTATCCTGGGTGTCTCAAAAATCTTAGTAACAACGTCTGTCTTGCCAATGTAACTTGTAACTAGTTGCTATCATGCAATAAATTATATCTTGTTTAAAGCAGGAGTCCCTTCTTTTTAGACTGCTTCATGGATCTCCTCTACCACTTTAGAACAAGTCAGCCCTGTGGACCCAGTTAGAAAGTGAGGATTCTGACAGTTACCTAGCCAACCACATATTGGCAGTGGTTGGCATCACATGGTGATACAACACATGTCAGCACAGTAAGGACAGGAAAAGCTTTGTTTGAATTATCCTTTTCTGACCATGGATCCTCAAGCCCCTGTGGATCTGCAATTTTCCACTCAAGCTGTGAATCAGTATTCCCTTTAAAACTGAGTTGCTGTGGACATCCATTATTTTCAGTACATGATGCAGTTAAATATTATTGCATGCATGTAAGTGTGTTATTTACCACAGATCAAGGCCTGTGTTCTGGATTTAGCATTGATATTAAGTTAAAATTGAAGCTATGTCTAAATGATTTCACCAAAGCCACGTATGCATATGTTAAAAAAGAAACTTATGGTGTTGGATAAGTCTTCTTCTTGCCTTCTTGGTTGATTAGGTTAAAGTTACCAGCAGCTCTCAGTAGCTTCAAAGTGCATAAGTAACCAGGGGTGATTTTAACTGGCCCCTCCACCATCCTAGTAGAATTATACGTATAATTTACTTTTGCTTAAAATGTTTTATGTAGCAGTTTTCAAATTGTGCACTCTTTAAAACACTTTATCAAATGGGTTGATCTTTGTATGACAAAGAAAGAATATATTGCATTTCTATAGCACCTGTTGCAATTTTAGTTGTGAGACGAGAGTGATTGCCTTGAACATAAAGGCATTATTTTACTGAGAGTGTTGTCAAAAACTCCTGGCCAAACTGAAGCCAGTGGAAATCAGAAGGAATACTGTGCATTGGTTTAAGTGGTACGCAACTGAAAAGAAGATGTTTGCAGCTATTGAAGGCCCATTATCTCAGTTCCAGGACATCTCTGGGGGAATTCCTCAGGATAGTGTCCTAGCCCCAACCATCTTCAGCTGCTTCATCAATGATCTTCCTTCCATCGTAAAGTCAGAAGTGATTGTGCAATACTTAGCACTGCTTGCAACTCCTCAGATACTGAAATGATCAGTGTTCATACAGCAAGAACTGGACAACATCCAGGTTTGGGCTGATAAGTAGCAAATAGCAATCATGCCACACAATTGCTAGGCAATGACCCTCTGCAACAAGACAGAATCTAACCGTGCTTCTTGAGTTCAGTGGCATCAGGATCATTGAATCCCCATTATCAACATCCCAGCAGGGGGAGGGCAGGTTAAATCAACCAGAAACTGAACTAGTCCAGCCATATAAATATTGTGGCGAGAAGAGCAGGTTAGAGACAAGGGATTCTTCAGAAAGTAATTCACTTCTTGTCACTCCAGTGCCTGTCCACTATCTGCAGGTTGTCTGCATCTGTCCCACTGTCCAAGTTCCAATGCACCTGCTGCCCTTGCCCTTCTAGTTGTTAGAGGTGAAGTTATTTTTCTATCAAAGGAATCTTGGCAAGTTGTTACAGAGCATTTAGATGGTACAATGGCCAATCTTTATCCATCAATCAAAAACTAAAGCAGGTGACTTGGTAACTTATTTACTTGTTTTTTTCTGAGAACTTGTGTGCAAATTGTCTGCTGCATTTTCTAAACGATAACAAATAACTACAGAAAGGAAGTATTTAATTGAATGCAACGCACCTTGGATCGTAATTTTTTTTCATTTATCCCTGGAATGTGGGCATTGCTGGCTGGGCTAGCATTTATTGCCCAACCCTAATTGCCCTGGAGAAGGTGATGTCGAGCTGCCTTCTTGAACTGCTGCAGCTCTCAGGGCGTAAGATCACCCAAATGCTTTTAGGAATGAAAATTTAGGACTTTGACCCAAAGACAGTGAAGGTCAGGGATTTAGATCTAAGTCAGAATGGCCTTCTTGAGGGCAATTAGTGTACACAGTTTGAATGAAATAAATAAATAATATGTTGTTCAACTGGGAATCGTTCTGGTGAAATGTCATTAATCCGAAATATAATTGTGTTTCTCTCCGGCTGAGTATTGCCAGTATTTTCTTTCTTTACTATGGGGAACTCCCCCTTTGATTTTTCCCTAGTACCATTGGGATAGTTACTGTCCACAGGAGGCAGTCGAGCCCCAGTGTTATGTCTCATTTGAAAGGAGAGACCTTTGATAATGCAGCACTCCCTGAAGTGCTAATCTTAATAATCTGTTCAGGTATCTGGTATAGGGCTTCAATGCACAACCCTTCAACTGAAAGGTGTGTGTAGTTTATTCATCAATTTCCAGGTTTTCTAAAATAAATTTGAAGCTTACCAGCCCATGACTTTACCAGACCCTTGAGTTTAGACTTTTACCTCTTGTTTGCCCTGTGAAGAAGTTTGCTCATCTTCTGGTTTCTAGTTTTGTTTTCAGATGTTACAAACTGGTTGTGTTTTTCCAGCCAATCAGAAATGTAAAACCATTTGCTGCGGTGTCAACAAAGATGGCATTTTAGAGGTTACCACTGCTTTGTAGGTCACAGTTCATTGTCAGCCACTTCCTGAGCGGCCCAGAGATGCTCTATCAAGAAGGGGACTATCCCCAGTGCCCACCAGGGTACTCTGTATGTGTGAGGTCCAGATATCACATGGCCCAAACAAGTTCCATTTGTCAAAGCATGTTTACTCACTAACTCTCTCTGAGTCATTTGGAAGAATTTGAAATATTCTGGAACCAAAGTTGCTAATGTTGCTGGCTCCCAGTAAATGATCTCCCTTAGCCAGATATATCAAATGTAAATTTGCCAAACCCAATCAAGCCAATGGAAAAAAAAATCGCCAGGTCAAAAACAAAGTAACAACGATGCATACATAGTTTATTTAACATGCTATATTAATCAAAGGCATTCATCACTCATTTATTATTTGACAAATTTAATGGATTTTTTTCAAGAAAGCAACTGATTGGATAGATTAAAGGAAAGATATTAACTATATTGCGTCTGGATTTTCAGGAGGCAATTTCAGGGAGTTTCATAACACACTTGTTTAGAATATATTGCAAGAAAAAAAATAAGAGTATGAACAGACTGTTTGAAATTAAAAGTTATAGTAAATAAGGAAGGTTGTTTTTCGGTCTGGTGGCCTGTTACCAGTGGTATACAATGGGGATCATTGCTGGGTCCACTTTTGTTTATCATTTATATGAATGATAGAGATGTGAATACAGAAGGCATGGTTAGTAAGTTTGCAGATGACACCAAAATTGGTGGTATAGTGGACAGCGAAGGTTATCTAAGATTACAAAGAGATCTTGATCAGTTGGGTCATTGGGCTGAGGCATGGCAGATGGCGTTTAATTTGGATACGTGTGAGGTATTGCATTTTGGTAAAACAAACAAAGGCAGGACTTATACAATTAAAA